TATATTTTGACTCAAAACAAAGAAACTTTTTAAAAACATTTCAGTTGAAACTTGCATAATTCTTCCAGTGGAGAAATCCTCCCTGACTTTCGCAATCCTTAGAAAGAGACACATTATTGCTGCTTGTGTAACAGTCTCCGGGCTGCGAAGAGTCCGGCCGCCGGCCTGGGCCACCTCCCGCGGGTCACCTCCTGCCAGACGGCCAGGGCTGGCCCCAGAAAGCACCGCCTCCCCCAGCTCCCCGGCGGCCAGGGGTGCAGGGTGCGGCTCCGCCACACCCCCCCCCAGACTTCCGCCCGCGCGGGCCTGTCTGCCCTCACCCAACATCTCAGACAGACATTACACAAACCGGCTGCAGGGAAGGTTGAGAAATGGAGACGCCAAGAGTCAATGACCCTAATCTCACGGCCCCGGCTGACGGACGGATGGACAGACCCTGGTGAGGCAGCAGGGACAGAGGCAAAGGTCACTCAATGACCCTGCCACCCCAGGGGAGCTGCCGCCCTGGGGAGACCCCAGAAGCTGGGGGGCCCAGCCCAGCTCCACAGGGGGATCTTGGAAACTGGCAGGATGGCGGACAGGCAGGCAAACAGACAGACAGAAGGGCGGGCAGCCCACACCTGGAGAACCATCTAGACATGCCTCTGCTCACTCAGACAGGCGGAGGCACCCAGCCAGTCCTTCAGCCCCCCCTCACTCCTTCAAGGCCAGCTACCTGGCACAGGGGGCGGACAGAGGCCTCGTTCGAGCTGCACCTCCTCCGCTGGAGACGACTCCCCAGCCTTCACTCTGGCACACCCCGCCTTCCGCATGGGGGGGCCAAGGCCCGGCCAGGAATCTCGCCTCAGGGCGTCACCTGAGCCAGCACCCACCTTCGCAACCACACGTCTGCAGCCAGGAAACCACCACGGAACCCCCCAAAAACCTAGAGCAAAACAAGTGGACGAAGGGACGACTCTGACGCTGTCTCTGTCCTCATAGCAGATCGCGTCGGAAGCACAGCACCCCGTTCAAGGGAGGCCCAGAGGAAGCGTGCGGGTCAGAATCTGTTCCAGCCTCGCGACGCTCTCTTCACGCCATTCCTTCCTGTGGTAACGTCATCTTAGGTAAGAACCAGACACACCTCTCCAGAGGAGGGTCCACAGGCCAAGATCCTCTTCCTGGCCTGTGGACCCAAGAGGCGCATTCGCTCCCAAGAAGGCCCACAAGATCGGCGCCCCCCCCCCCCCCAGCTGCTGGCTGGGCCCTGCCTGGAGGAAGCACGTCCTCTGACTGGGAAAGAGCTGCAGGTGACACGAGGAAAGCTGTCCCAACACCAGGAATCGAGACAGATGCAGTCATGGACACTTACACCACACGCCAGGGGGCCACCAGCCTGCGGGCCCCTGGAGCACACCGACCCCCACAAAGGCAAGCCTACAAAAGGAACCCCTCTGAGAACCCGGCTGTCTGAAGGACGGACAGACGGACAGACAAGCAGTACAAACCAGGCTCTCCGATCTGAAAACTGGGACCCGGAAGCACAGAGAGCATCTCCAAGGGGCCCGTTTCTCAAGCACACAAGTCCAGACCCTGTCCAGGGCCCAGGGAGGCAGCGCACCGCCCCACGGTCGGCCCAAAAGGGACGCACCTGGTTACCAGCGAGGAGGCGTCCTGAGGGCCGAGAAGCCAGGCCCCCAGCGGCAGACGAGCCGGCAGCACTGACATGCTCCTCTGCGACAGCAACCGGTGCTGCTGAACAACTGCGCCAATTCAGTCCAAACACCATCAGACAAGCCCAAGAAAAAGAACAGAGCCCCCCACCTGGGCAGAAGAGGGCAAGGGTGCAGAGGGCGCCAACGTCCCCATCTCCTTGCCGCGTGTTCCTGCAGCAGCAACATGACACGTGCCTCCCCCCCCCCCCCCCCCCCGCTGGAAACCTAAACACCCTAGAGCGATAAAACATCCCCAGTCACACCGCTTCCTACAGCCCCATCTCATACACGGGAAAACAGGGGACCTACGGGGGTTAGGCCAACTGGCTGGAGGTCACGAATCAGGAGACAGGAGCGAGGCTGCGGGAGCCGCCCCCTGAGGTCCCACAGCCAGGCCGGCCCCCCCACAGGGCACCCGGGGCAGCCCAGGGGGGGTGGGGGGATGCCTAGGAGGTGGCTCCCCACGGCCATGCCACGGCACTTTCTGCGGGCCCCGGTGACACGAAGGGGCATCCCTGAGGCCTGACAACCGCACATGCAGACGGGCCGCCTTCACAGGGTTTCCAGGCTTGAGGCCGGAGCCCCACCCCGCACTCCGTTCCGCGCCGGGGCAACCACAGGCGACCCGCCAGGGCCAGGCTTCAGGCAAAGCAGCGTGGGCAAAGGTAAGCTGGTCTCCAAGACAGACAGACAGACACACACACGCACACACCCCCCCTGAGACTGGCAGCCCTCCTGGCACTGAGGGCAGAATGGTGCCGAGTCTCCGGCTGGCAGGGCAGCTGAGCGGCCCCTGAGCCCCATGAGACAGGAACGTGCCTCGGCTCCCACTGCCTCACCGGAACCCAGGGCCCCGGGGGAGTCGTGTCCCCCACAGAGAACAATTCTAGCACGTTCTTTGTTCCCTGCTGTCCTCATCCTTGGTCAAAAATACTAAACTAAACTATAAAATAATTGAAAAAATCAAAATACATTCCACCAATAAGCTGTCAAAGGCGGTCACAAGGAGCGACGAGAGCCAGGCGGGGCACGGGGGAGGGGGTGTCTTCTCAGGCAGCTCCTCCACAGCAAGTGGGGTCTAGGCAGCTGGGGGGGGGTCCCATCCGTCCCTGAGGCTGAGACCCTCCTCACGTGGTGCCCTCGGCACACAGACAGACGAGCACACGGCTCCGCTGAGAGATTTAAAGAGGAAGACACACCCCAGGACTCCCAACTGCGTGGACGCAGAGCCAAAAGGCAGCAGGCAGAGCCCCAAGAACAGGACGGGCAGAAGCCGCCGCCGGGAAGAGCGCGCCACGAGGTGCCAGAGCCAGCACGGGAGCGCGGGGACGAATGCCCAGCCGCCACCGCACAGGACAGCGCGGGCACACGCACACCTGGAGGCCCCACCCACTTCCAATAAGCAGGTCCCCCTCGCCGCTTGGGAAATGCTCGTTTGATCGGCACGCGAGGTCGGGAGCAGCGTCAGGAAAAGCACGGAGGGAGAAAGGGCGCAGACCATCTGTCGAACAGGCCACAGCAGAAACAGGCTCACGCCTCGGCTCCACGGACGGCGGCCTCCTCCCCAGGGAGCGCGCCCGCCGGCAGCCCGGGCTGGGCCTTCCCTGAGCCTGGGGACGGCCGCGCCCAGAAGCACAGGGCCGGCTACAAGGGACCCTGGGACCGGTCCGTAGCGGTGACAAAGGTTGGCCCCGGCGAGCCCCCCCATCCCCGGACACGACACAGGCACACCCCGCCAGACAAGGCCCTCCGCCACTCGCTCTGGAGGTGCGGGACCTGCCACGCTACCACAGGCCCGCACACGGGACTCCCCCAGGCCCCACCGGCCGTGGAAGGAACAGGCCCCCCCCCCAAAGAAAAGCCCCCGGTTCACCCGGGGCACCCCTCGCGCCACCCATCCCCGACTCCTCTGAAATCAAGGGGTCAGAGCGGCCTCTCCCGCAAGCACCCTCCCCGACTCAGAGCTTCCCTTGCGTACAACCCCTGCCCCGCGGTCTGTGGACAGCTGCCACCTGGGCACTTGCATAGCTGAGGGCAGAAATGCCACCCAACGCTCGTGCACGTGCGTGCGCGCCCACGGCAGCCCTCTCTGAGCACGGGCAACAGGCCCCTACATCGCCAGCCCCTCCTCTGCTCACCGAGACTCTGACACTCCACTGGAGGGGCGCCCAGAGAAAACTGGGCGGGAGCATCTATTCACAGATTTAGAAAAAAAAAAAGTTTGATGCAATAGCTGAATTAATTAGGCCTCCTAAGAATAGCTGAGCCAATGCAGCATTCTGTGTGTGCAATTTAATAAGCCTGGATATTTAAAAGAAAAGTTACAAATACCTGGGGAGGGGAGGGCAGCAGGGAGAGCTGGGGAGAACCCCAGTGAATGGTTTGGCGTCTGGCAGCCCCGGAGCTGCCCGGCCGGATCAGAGACCCTCTGCCGCCGGGCAGACAACAGAGCCCCGGCCAGTGGCCTCCCCCGCCCTTCAGCGTTTCAGAGAGGGAGACAAGGAAACGGGCGTGTCCAAAACAAATCGTGGGCCACGAGCTACTCCCACTCAGGGCCCCAGGTGCCCGCTGACCAGGTCCCAAGCCCAGGGCCAAGTGGCCCTTGCCATCACACGGGGGACTCAGGGATTCACACCCTGGCATGCCCACGGAAATGCAGAGAGCTGGAGTCGCCGAGTCTCGGCCCCCTGCCACCACGGCCTGGACACCTGGCTTCATTTCTGAATCTGTCTCCCAAGACTTCAAGGCACAAACAGACACTGCTTGGCCCACTTCTGTCTGCCGAGGACCGTGGGCAGGCAGCCCTCTGTCTGGGAGCCTGGGAGCCCACTCGGTCTAGACGCCTCCTCAGGGCCCCAAGGAAGGCCTAGGCCTGAGGCTGCAGCCTGGCCCGGCCCAGACCTAACTTCCCAGGAGTTGGGACAAGAGCATCTGAGTCTGAAGCCTGGCCTTTGCGGCCCGTCCAGGCAATGGCTGTGGGCCTCAGGAAGGCTTCTCTACCCGCCAGGCTAGACCGCAGAACACTGGGACCCCCCCCCACCCCACCCCCACCCCCCCACTCCTAGCAAGCTGCCTCATCACAGGGATCGAGCACAAGGCCCTTCCTATGTGGCCGTCGATGGGGACACAGACGCCACCCTGAATTTCCGTAAAAACAAACCCCGAGACAAGTCGCGGCCTGTAGAGACAGAGCCCCTGCTTGGCTCAGGACGCGCCCCCAGCCTTCCCCCGGCCCCGGCCCGCCCAGCTCCCAGGCCCTGGGGCCCAGTGCACCCAGCCTCTCCCACAGCCAGCAGGGACACTCACCCGGGGCACCCGCCGCTTGTACTTGTTGCCATAGTCAAACTTCTCCTTCACGTCGTCCAGGCAGCGGCCGAGGCGCGCCTGCTCCTCCTTGCCTGTGTAGTCCTGGCTCAGCAGGATGTAGGCCCGCCAGTTGGCTGAGTCGAAGCCCCAGTGGCAGGTCCGGTTCTCCAGCGCCTTGTGTGAGTGCACCACGAACTTGTGCGGCGGGTACATGAGGCGGCAGTCGAGGCACTGGATGCAGGCGGCACTCGGGCTGCTGTAGAGCTCGGGCACCAGCAACCCCTTGCACTTGCCGAAGCACTCGTGGTACACACGCACGCTGCGCTCGCTGAGCTCCAGGCCCAGCGCCAGGCTGGCGGCCAGCTCCTTCTTGCAGGGCGGCGGGTAGGCGCCGCCGTACAGCAGCGCGTTGCACAGGCGCTCGGCGTCCGTCTTGGTGATGAGCCCGCACGAGGGCGCCGAGAAGGGCAGGATGCCCATGACTTTGAGGATCTCCAGCTGGTCCGCCGTGCAGCGCGAGCAATAGATGTGCAGCTCGTCGCACACCGAGTTGATCTGCTGCAGCGAGAAGTCGCGCAGCACCGAGTTGAGGATCTGCGGCAGGCACAGGCGCTTCTCGCCGCCCACCACGAAGCACGAGATGGTCTCGCCCTCCAGCACGGTCTCGCAGCGCTCGGTGGAGCGGTCGGATGGCATGAAGAAAGGCCCGGGGAGCACGGGCGGCGGCGGCTGGATGGCTGGCAGGTGCAGCACGGGCGGCGGCTCGGCGGCCGCGGGGACCGGCGCGGGCACCGCAGCCGCGCTCGCCTCCTTGGCGCTCTCCTTCTTGTAGGCCTCCTGCGCCCAGCGCGCCGAGAAGGCGGCCGGGCCGCCCAGCGAGCTCATGGAGCTCAAGTGGAACTGCTCCAGCGTCTTCTGCAGCCCCGGGTGCGGCTGGAAACCGCCGCGGCCGCCGGCCGCCGCCTCCATGGTGCGCTCCGGCTCCCCGGGCCGCTCCCGCTCCCGCGCGCCCGGGCCCCCGCGGCCCCCGCCGCCGCCCCGGGCGCCCCGGCGGCGCCCCCGGCCCCGGCCCCGGCCCCCCCCCGCCGCCGCCGCCGCCGGCTCCCGACCGATCACGGCCGCGGCCTCGGCCTCGCCCGTGGGCGCGAAGGGGTAGGCGGGCGGGGCGAAGGGGTCCCGCCGCTGGAGCCCGCCGCCGCCCGGGCCCGGCGCCACATCCACGCGCCCCGCGCCCCGCCCGCCGCCGCCGCCGCCGCCGCCCGGGCCCCCCGCGCGCCCCCCGCGCGCCCCCCGGGCCCTAGGCGCGGGGCATGACCCTGCGCGCGCCGCCAACGCCAACGCCAACGCTCGCGGGCCCGGGGCTCGCGGGGGGCGCGCGGGCAGGTGCCGGCGCCGCGAGGCGCGAATCGCCGCGGCGGCCGAGGCCGAGGGGCCCGGGAGGAGCGGGGGCGCGGGCGCGGGGCCCGCCGGGCCGTCCTCGCGCGGCGCGCCGCCGCCGCCCCGCTCCTCCCACCGCGCGGCGCCCGCCCGGCTCGTCCCGGCGGCGCTGGCCGGCCGCGTCGCGCCCGCCGCCGGCCGCCCCGGCCCGGCCCGGCCCGCCCCGCCGCCCGCGCCCGGCTCCGCGGCCCGCCCGCCCGCCTGCGCGCGCGCGGCTTCCGGGGCGGCGGGAGCGCCTGTGGCGGCGGCCCTCAGAGCGCGGCGGCGGCGGCGGCGGCGGCGCGGGGCTCGACGCACATCCTCCCGGCGGCTCGCTCCGGCTCGGACTGAGCGCCGAGCGCTGAGCTCACGCCGCCGCCCCGCCCCGCGCCGCCCCGCCCCGCGCCGCCGCCGCCCCGCCCCTCGCGCCGTCTGGAGCCGCGCGTCCGCCTCAGCCGAGCGCCGGCCAGGAATGCGACCGCCTCCCGGCCCGGCTCTTCCAAGAACGCGCTCTCCCCCCGCCGCCACCCCGCCCGGGCTCGGGCCTGCTCGGCCGCGTTCGGGCCCGTCCGCCGGGGACTCGGCTCCGCTCGGCCCCGCCCGCCCGGGACTCGGCCTCGCTCGGCCCCCCCCCTCGGCCCCCCCTCGGCCCCGCTCGGCCCCGCCCTCCGGAAGGGCGCTCGGCGGGGGCAGCGGCGGCGCCCGGGGCCCCCCTTCCGGCCGAGGCCGCTTCCTGCGCCGCTGGGAAGGCGCCGGTTCCGCCGCCGACACCGCCGCCGCCGCCGGGGCTCCGAAACCCACACGCGGCCCCCACCACAACCGCAGACTCGCGGAGGGGCAGGCAGGTCGGGTCGGCGCAGCCTCCACCGCTCGCCACGCGTCCCGTCCACGGGGACCCCACATACGACACGGGCCCCACAGAGTGACGGGGGCGCCTCGTGGGTTACTCCACGTTAGGGCTGCCACACCCGAGGGAGCCCACCCAGGAGACACACAGTGCAGCGCGGCCCAGCACGCCCCCTGCCCGCGCCCCCTGGGTGACTGACCGGCTGAGCCGACCACCCCACGACCCTGCACCCTGGTCGCGTCCCAGCCAACAGCTTCGCCTCCCACGGGTCCCAGTGCAGACCTGCCTGCTCCGCGGGCCGGGGGCTTTGTGCCTCTGGACAGCCCCGACGGACAGCCCCGCGCCCGGGGAGCCCTGCCCTCCGCCCACCCGCCAGGCCCCGGTCCGCCCTCGGCAGGCGGCCCCCCACCCTGACTGCAAAGCCCCTCACACGTCTGGAGGGCGCCTGGGGCAGCCCCAGGAGACACCTCGCTCAGTGTCCTTCCACAGACTGGCTGTCGAGGGGCAGAGACAAACCAGAAAGTGCAGGACAGAAGAACACCAGGGGCACAGAGTCGGACAGGCTGGCTAGGTGGCCCCCAGAGGAGGTGGCGCCTTAGCGGAGGCCTAGAGAGTAGGCACTGGAAATCAAGGTGGCCCCCAGAGGAGGTGGCGCCTTAGCGGAGGCCTAGAGAGTAGGCACTGGAAATCAAGGTGGCCCCCAGAGAAGGTGGCGCCTTAGCGGAGGCCTAGAGAGTAGGCACTGGAAATCAAAGGGACGGCTCTGTCTGTGCTCGGCCCCCGTGCAGGACGGTCCAGCCACAGGACAAGGGCACCCAAGCCAACCTGGGCGCTGGGTGACATATGAGGGCCATGCCCGCTCCAGCCTGAGTGACCTTCAGTTAACTTCAGCTTGTCACCTGCTCCCACCTCCCCAGTGGAGTCTGAAAGTGGCCCCAGTCCAGCGCTCCTGGGGGTGGCACCTGCCCTGGGGGCCCGGCCAGGCATCCCTGTGGCCCCTGTCACCCCTGAGGTGCCAGCAGGTGTCTGGAGGTGCAACTAGGATGGGCGGCACAGGGGGACAGACACCCAGGAGGGGCTTGAGATTCAGAGTGCGGTGGCCCCAAATCTGGAAACCCGATCGCTCCCCTCCCTGGACACGAGCCCCCCCACCCCCAACCTCGCCTGTGTCCTAGGGCTGTCCCTCCCGCCCTTCCGTCGGGTTCCCCCAGCAGCAGAGCCCCAATAGGACGCTGCTCTACGTGTGCAAACATACAACTGCAATGGACTATTTCAAAAACAAAAGGCACCTCTTACTTGTTTGGGGATGTCATTTTCTTGGTCCGCGTTGGGACCAAAAACGTTTCCATTGCACCCAAGAGGGTTCGTCCCTTCCGTGTGGATTTGAATTCTCTGCAGCTCAGGCAACCTGTAATCCAAAGGAGGTGGTCGGGGCACCAGAGGGCTGGCCGGGGAGGGTTTCCAGCAAAGTACAGTCTCTCCTGTTCTTTTGGCCAAGCAAACACCCCCACAGGGGCCCTGAGCCCATGGTCCCCTTGATGGGCAGTGCCCAGATCCAATGGACCATTTCCCTACATCCTCTGACTTTGCACGCATCTGGGAAGGAGTCCCGGGAAGGGGTCCCAAGAAGGGGCCGGGCAGGGAGGAACCAACATTTTTCCCTTCAGGTGAAGGGCCCTGAGAAGCAGGAAAGGCCTGAGCTGCCTCTTAAACAACCCCTCCTTGGACTTCACAGCCTGAAAGATGTTGGAGTTTCAGGGGCAGCCGAGCCCACCTCACCCACCGCGGGCCAGGCCAGCCATACCCAGACAGAGCCGACCAGGCCCCCCGTCTTCTCCCTGACCCAGTGGGGGCTTCTCAGCCCGCTGGCCTTTCTCCCTCTACCCCACCCCTGCAGCTGGACGGCGGGGTGGCTCACACCTCCCCCCGTCCCCCTGCTGCTGGCCAGGAACGAAGCTGGCACGTAGAAGGTCCAGGCCACAGGCACAGCCACAGCAGAGAGTGGGGCCCCACTACACCTGCGCCCCCTTCCCAGCTCACTCTCTGGCCAGTAGGTGTGGGCAACGGGTCGTGTGTGTTCCTATCTTTGGGGCTTGTACCCGCAGGCCCAGAGCGGAGGGCTGGGACCGACACGGAAGGAGAGCAAGTTCTGCCACGTGGCTTCCCTCTCCTGTGGAGACACTGGCGAAGCAGAGCAGCAACACTATTTGGGTCCCAACGAGGCCTTGAGTGGCTGGGGGCTGGCCTTGGAGCCAGCAGGTTCAGGGTCAGAGGTGAGGGCGTGGGCAGTTATGGCAGCGCTCACGGGCCCAACTGGGGAAAAGGGCTGGGAGATTCAAGGCAGCAGCCTTGACGAAGAGACTCCAACGGACCGCTCCCCACCTGCCCGAGTGGACCAGCACCGACCTCCCCAGCTCCCACCTGCTTCCTGCTCCCTGGGAAGTGGAAGAAAACACCTGGTGGCAGCCAGGCACAAACTGCCATTGTTAAGAAAGTGCTACGATGCCGTTTTCAAACCTCAAATTTGATGGGGCACCTCGGTGGCGCAGTAGGCTGAGCATCCAGCTCTCATTTCAGCTCAGGTCATGATCCCAGGGTTGTGGGATCAAGCCCTGCATGGAGCTCTGCGCTGAGAACTCCGATCCTGCTTGGGATTCTTTCTCTCCTCCCACCTTTACCCCTCCCCTGCTCAAGCTCACTCTTCTCTCTGTCTCTCAAAATTAATAAATTAAAAAAAAAAGTTTTAACACGGAGAGATCTGGGGCGCCTGGGTGGCTCAGTCGGTTAAGCATCTGACTCTGTCTGAGCTCAGGTCTTGATCCCACAGTTCGTGAGTTCCAGCTGCAGGTCAGGCTGTGTGCTGACAGCGCAGAGCCTGCTTGAGATTCTGTTTCCCTCTCTCTGCCCCTCCCCACACTCTCTCAAAAATAAATAAACATTTTTTAAATTTGGAGAGGGATAAATGAATCATGTGTGTTGAATTGGAATTAGCAACACTCGCATGAACCCATAAGTCGCAGTGTTTATAAACAAAGAGAAAAATTGTAGATGTAATCGTGTGTTGGTACAAACGTCCATAGAATTCGTAGCTCTGTCTAGTGAGAGGGCCTGAGAGGAGCAGCATCCTGACGGCAGCGAGCGCACTGAGACCCCACGTCCTGGTTTCTAACTTCCGTCCTCCTTAGGAGACTTCTTTGGCAAGATGGCCGGTCTCAGGGCTCGGGCAGGGAGAGCACACTGGGGCACCTCCCTGTGCTGGAAGCGCTGGAGGGTTCACAGCACAACAGGGACGTGTTGAAAGGACGTCACTAGCTTGAAGGGACCCCCCACTGGCAAATCGGAGGTCACAATTACAGTCATGAGTTACAATCACGGAATAAAATGGGAAACCGCAAGTCCACGCATATTCGGATCCTTATTAGAATAAATTATTTGGAAGTGGAAAGTTTGATGAGAAATAGGCAATCTGCCTGGTTTTAAAGTTCCTCACGCAAGGTTCCCATAATCGCTAAGGGAAGAAGAGTGAGTCCCCAGGGGAGGTGCGGGCAGACGCCACCGTAGCCAATCTAATTGGACACCATCACTCATTGGCTCAGTCGTAGTCCTGCACCACTGACGGGGGGACGGGCAGACCACACGGCAGTTCTGTGACTCTCCTGCCGAGGAAGCACAGCCTGGCTCTGATCACGAGGGAAACTCAGACATCCACACGGAGGCTCTACACACGGAAGGACAGGCCC